TTTGGAAAATTTTTCGCGCCGTTCTTACGAGCAAGTTCCATCGTCGAGATGAATATTTCAGCTCCTGAGAAATCTTCGAACGGAGCTTCGCTCCTGGGGGAGTATCGCGTGTTGAAAGAGACGGTTGACATTTTCGACGCTGTACGTTCACGGATATTCTCGTTCTCGGCAGAGAATTCGGATGAACACGATTTGCTAGAATCATCGTCGCGACTCGAATGACGAACCGTGATTTCTCGGCGAGCACGAAACTATCGCGCGCCGAATTAAATCGCCGTCGGTCGCATTCGTGTCAATAGGACGCGCGGAACATTTCAACGTTTACTTTAACGACAATTATCGTCGATATCGCCGTTACACGTTATTCAACGACGTTACAGTCTAAAAGCCGAACGAGTCGATTCCATTGCGCGTCGGATGAATATCTGATACGTGAAACGTCGAGGTAAACCCGTGATTTGTTCGTATCGAGCGTTGCTGCTATTATTTTTCGATATCTATTCGCTTGCACTCTTTGACCCATTGGGGACGGAAGTTGACCCTACGAACTCGGATGTCCCCTCTGAGGAGGCTTCGTAAGTCTGATGAAGTTTGCTGTCGACAAGATAAATTCACAGGGAAAATTGATCAAACATTAGTGCTGACGCACCCCTTCCATATGATTTCTTGAGTATTCCTTTCAAATTTACAAATGTCTAACGATAAACTACCAAGGTCGACCGAGAGAGGGAGAGCAAACGAATTTATCAAATTAATTCTCTATTAACATAAAAATTTGCTTCTTGTGATGTATAAGTAAAACAAGGTTGAATTTAAATGTGTTCCAGATTCATTTTTTCTTTAGGTGCAGTCCTCGAGATACGATTTTGTCCCGAACCCCGTAGAGGTTGGATAATACGCCACTGTTCATAAACCCGTCGCGTTTCCCCGCGTTTCTAGCTTCTTCTCGCGAGACCCATTCGCGTGTCGTGAGCTTTTTAGAAGCAATGGAGTTTCTTGCCTCGGCCGCGATAAGCAACCCCGCGAACAGAGCCTGCGCGACAGCTCCGGTAGACTCGAACAGTGGAGGGTTAAAAATTCAAGAAAAAGGACGGTGGAAAGCAACAGGATTCGAGGTAACGAAGTAGGAACGCGGACGGCACGAAGTGCAAACTGGCACAGCGTTTGGAAAGCAATTCTCTCAGGGAAATTGTCGTCGACGGAGACGCTTAAACAAATATCCCCAGGGTCCTGGGTAGTTCGAGGCCATGGTAACCCTGAACGGGCCGTGCAAAGTCACGGAGTGGAGCGAAACAGCTTAAAAAGCTGAAAGTTCACCCTCGTTCCACGGTCGAACTTCTGCGTTACCCTCTGTGTGGACCTTCTTTCGCCAACTCTCCCCCGTCCCTGTCGTTTCGTTCTTTCGAGCGTTCCTCCGCTCCGTGTCCTACCTTTCGCTTCCTTGTTCCGTTTGTCCCTCGAAAAGCTCCGCGAGATAAACCAGTATCGCTGGGAACGTTACGAAAACCGGAATGCGCTCTTATCGTTAGCGTCCCTGACGACGTCGTTGCTGCAACAGTTTGAAAAGAAAACAGAAATTAGTTTCTATTCGGAGAGGGGGATATAGTCTTTAAGAACTAGATAAGGACGGAATTTTCATTGGCTGATAGAACGTAATCAGATATTTACCAACATTATAACTGTGCTCGTAGCAACGTGGTTGCCAATGGACTCAAACAATCTCAGACCTCAGAGATAATTTATATGATTCCAGCGAAGACATTACCAACTACAGTCAATCGCATAAGTATTCGTACCCCCTATATCCATCGAAGAAATTTGTCTAATTTAAATGATAAGCTCCATGTTTCCAAATCAATTTTCCCTTATAAATGTGTACATGAATAAACTTCACACATGTATATATTTACAATTACAAATTTATTTAGAAACATGAAGCATTAAATTAGACAAATTTCTTCAATAAATATAGAGGGTACGATTACTTATAGGACTGACTGAATATAAATTTTCAAATGAATAAAATTAAATCTGTGCTCAAAGTGTCATCCAACCTTTTCGAATAATAATAAAGACCTCGATTCGCGTAACTATAGAATCATTTCGCTGTTCCATTCGGAGCCATCACTAGGCGCGCTTTCCCTGGCGCAAATAATTAAACGCAAAGCACACGGAGTCCTTCCCGCAATTTTTCCTCGCCCAGTGTTCCTCCTAGCTTCCCCAACCCTCTCGGAGGACGTCAACGAGATAAACCAGCGATAGTTGCCGGCGCAGCTGGCCGCAAAGTCATCGCGGCGATATTATTACGATTAAGGGATGAAAGGGGGATGGAGTGGCGAGAAAATACGTTACCCAGAGGGCAGCATTTTTCGCCTCTGTATCTCGCGCGTCGTAACGCGAACAGCTTTTCTCTTTATTCAACCGTCAGCCGGTCAGCCGACCGGTAAACGCAGTGCGGTTGAACTTCGATTGAACAGACCGCAACCCTTCATTTTCCGATCGTCGATTAGCCTCGGACCTCCGTTGTCCGCGATTTCAATTACACGCCGTATTAACTTCCGCCTGCGCGCGGCTATTTTAGAACGTTTCCCTGGCGATACATGGAAAGTTAATTACAAACTTCCCAATTTTTCCCAATCTTCTCCGCGTAGCTACTTCTCGTGTTTTTTTACAAGTGTGGAAAACCCTTGATATAAGTATGGAGTGAACTGGGCTCGAGAGTAACAGAGGAAAGGAGTGCAATTTTTGTTAGTATGAATGTAATCACATTTATCTGTAGTTAGAAAATTACTGGGTGGATAGTGTATACAGGGTCACAAGAGGAAAATGATCGATTTAGAGGGGAAACATAGTGTGAGAGACAGAGAAATGATCCAGTTGACTTTCTAAAAGATACCACTGAAAAATAGTTAAATGAATCTCCGAGGTATAGGAAGTTTCGCCGCGGATGGGGGATTCGTGCGGGTTAGGATCGATTGTTGTCGAGGCTCGGTCGCGTTGGGGGGTATTGTTTAAACGATCCGTCGGCACGGAAAAATCCTCGACGCCCATAATGCTACAAGCGAGAGGAGAACTGTTCGGGTCGGCAATGAAAACTTGAAAAGTTCGTGCTTTTTCATTTTCAGCAACGGGACTCGGTCGCCTGGCGTCGCTGAGAGCGCAGACGATGCTGATTTCCCAACGGGTATCGTCCATCTATAAATCTATACCCCGAGGTTGTTTAGCCGGAGCTATATGTGTACGCGTAGCCGGCAACTGCGCCGCCCTGTATTTTTCATTCGACTCGGCCGGCTTTTCCCAACCCTGGAGAAGGAAACTTTTATCTTACGAAACTTTACTTCTTCCGGGTCCCGATCGCCGCGCACGACAAAACAAAGATTATTCCCTTCGAACGGTACACATAACCGTAGATTCGTCTTGAATTTATCCGTCTCGGATCGGTCGCGACCGATAGACGTGCGTCGTAATCTCGTAAATCTTCCGTGCGATGCACCCTGAATCTTCTTATATGATTGGAGGACGTGAGATGGAAGAATGTTAGTTGAAAGATGACATCCGCGAAAGCCACTATAGCGGCGCGTCGTGCCTAAGAGTTTAATGAAAATATCCAATTCTGTTTAAACAACGCTGGACTCCTTTAGAATCGTTTAATAAACCTTCTGAACCAGTTGCTCATATTTTCAGATATAAAGATTCTAAAAACACAAATTTTTCAAAGATCGATTTTTCATACTAGTAAAACTGGGGCACGCGAAGCGAAACTGAGAAACAGCGAACAACAACAGCTTAACAGAACAAATAAAGTACAAGTAGCTAGTAGAGATAGAGTTTTTGGCGACGGAAAAGGATATTCCTGAACGGATAGGGAAGTTTTAAGCGAACACGAGGCAGCTTGGAGTTTGATCGGCGCACGGAGAACTTCCGTTCGCTCGAAACACACGGAAAATGCTTGTTTTCTTTCCGAAAACGGTTTCCATCGAACGCATCGAGAAGCGAGCGATGAAATATGTCTCGAGAGCAAATGGAGGCTGGGAGGGAAACGGCGAACCAGCCCGCGGCACCTCGTCGCCACCTCCCTTCGGTCTGCGTTAAAGTTGCAGCTTGCCAGTGCCTCTCACGAGGGATAAAATGTTTAGGGTGAAATTTCTCCGTCCGCTCAACCAGCCCCCCCCCCCCTCCCTCGCAAGCCCGCTCTCTAAATAGCTCGCGGGTATCCTGCGTCTCGCCCTTTAATCCTACTGTTCCGTCTCCACCCCTAATTCCAATTTGTTGCTGCAGACCGTCTTTTGCGTAACTGGAACGACCCTCGTAAATACAGTGGAGCTCCGGGTTAACGATAACGCATCAGCCAAATTTAAATATAATAAAATACCAATAAAATATTGATGTTATGGTTATTTTTATCCTACATTCTACGTATTTCTTCGTTACTCATTCATCGAAGAAACTAATTTTCTTGGTACTACGTAACACATAAGAGCAAAAACATTACTCGTGAATATTTTGGCCAAAGATGCAAGTTCATATGAACGCAATAACTTGTAAAGAAAGTAAAAGAGTAATTAATGTTACAAGAATAAAACCTTTGACTGCTTTTACTGGCTGAGACTTCTTTCTACTTCTACTTTTAATTTACTGCTTAATTCACTTCTATTAATCAGCTTTTACTTTTCCATGAGTACTTCTTCCCAGTAGGAATTCTACTCTGTCCATTTTTTAGGGTACACATTGACTTTATATAAATCTTTGTACCTGCAAGAACCTAAATCATTGATTGAAACGTTTGACAGCGGCAAAATAGATGCTTCTCACAAACCTATGCATCTATCTATCTATTTGCAAACATTTTTAACGAGGGAATCACCCGTTTCTGTTCCAGTGTTCCGGCGCAACTTCGGGAGACTTCTCGGAGCGAGTGGCAGCCCTGTTGCAGTCCTCTTCTACTCAGGACGACTGCTAGTCCTCGTAGAGATTCTTTCTAAGCGTTCTGCTTTCCCCGGGAGCCGATGGAAACGCGAGAGGATTTCGCACGATGCCGCGGAACTCGCGTAGCGTTAACGATTTTTCAGCTAACTTGTAAGCTTTAACGCGTCTCAACGTCTATCGTCTACGCGATTAAACTTAAGGTTCACTTTCCAGGCTAATATGATTCCAAGTATCGCGAAACACCAGAAAGACGAAAGCCAATCCCGTCGTCCCGGGTCCACGTTCACGGATTGCGAATCGTTTCGTACAGGGTGAGTCGTGAATCGTCGCGATATTCGAGCTAGGTCTGTCCGATCAAAAAAGTAATGATTCAAACGAATGTTTCTCGACACATTTTCTTTTTATTAGACTACCAGAACTACACCGCTGACCATAAGCATTGTATTAGGACACTTGCATGGATACATTGTAATTGAAATTCGTTTAGAAATTCTACGAGTAACTACATTTACAAATACTCCAATTCTTCCAAGTTCCTTCATGGCTGCTGCCATAAAATGTAACGAAGTTATATTACTAATTTAACACGTTGAACGCCACGTCACCCGCACAAGGCTGACATGGATTTTCACTGAGGAATTAAAAAATTAATTCTGAAAATCAAGTGTTGAAAAAAAGCAAGTCTGAACAGGATTCATGAATTGTGATCGGCTTGTAAAACTAAATGCTAACCGCAAATATTAAATTAAATAACTTCCATTTTGTAATTGTTGCAAAAAAGTTAACGAAATAAACGTCAGCAAATGTATCAAGTGCCCTAATACTCGTGACCAGCATTTTTCTTAGAGATCCCATGGGAAAAGCTCGGTATCCCCGAGGCAAGCAACCCAGCTTCGCACAATAATAATAATAATCAGAACTAGTTGAAATATCGCAGGGCTGTTTTCACGACCCACCCAGCACGTTCTTGCAATCGCCGACCACGGATGTTTGTTCCATGAAATTCCCGTGAAAAACTTACGAAGTCGGCGAGGGTTTTTCTCGAAACTGTGAAACTGGTTTCAATTCGAGACTCTTTTTCCGCAAAACAGACACCGAAGATGTCGCGCTCGTTACGAGAAAACAAACGTGCCCCGGATAACAATGTCCAAGTGCTCTGTGAAACCGCGAGAACGTTATATACTTCTTTTTCTCTTAGTGTTTCTTAATTATCTCGCCACGTGTAATCAATGCCGGAAAGCCTCTGCGAAACAAAAGCGAACTCGTTAGAGGGGCGTTTGTTGCCATGCATATCGCAGTGTAATTATATTTCGAGGATTGTAACTTCAACAGTGGCCGGACAACCTTCGCGGCCGGCTGCCTTTCACGGAGTTAAAGAACACGTGAATATATATCCCTGAGTACATCCGTGTCATGCATACGAGCCCGCGGTCCAAATCATGGATACTTAATATTTCAAGTGGCAACGAAGAATGGGACGTTAGTCGAGCGATTTAACATATTTATTCGAAATTTTCAACATAATTAGTCCTCAAGGAACAGCGACTGCGCTGGAGTATACGTGCTTCTTTCGCTGGGTCTTTTAATTGAACTTGTTAGCGATACCTCAACCTCCGTAATCGAGTTTAATTTAAAGACATTCGCAGGGAAGGCTGTCGATGAATAATGCAATGGCAAATCACTGCGACTGGATTACCTAATTCTATTTTTCACCGGTCACGTTCAAACCCCCAAGAGTAATACTCTGGATCTACTTTAACAAGTTCATAGTTCCTGGCAGATTAAACAATGTAAGGATGGGTCATCCGAGCTTTAGGTACAAAGCTTAGAAGATTCACCCTGTATGTTTTCACTCCTAGTTTTGTCTTTTACCTCATTCACTGCCAAGCAAATGTAAAGCGTTTCGACTTGGGCGCCAAGATTCGATACAGATGTGCAATCTAAGTTATTATTTTGATAATAAAGAATATAGAATTTGTTGTTTTAAAAAAAAATTTACGATCTACTTTCGCAATAATTCCATTCAAAAGGCTATAAACTCATCCCTCGAGTAATTACTATAAATTTAAACTAGGAGACAGTAGTTGGCAGTGAATGGGTTAAACAACGAAAAGCGATTATTTTCATATTAAAATTATCCATTTCCTTTAAAATTTCTTTCTCTGTAAATAATTTCTAATATTCGGATATCCACTGAATTTCAAAGCTCGTTTCAAATTCCGCCATTCGGTGACAACGCGTGGGAAGATATTAGCGGGGGAATATCGCAGAGGAGGAGCAGTTTTCCGCGAGATGATCGAGAGAAATGTGGTCACAGGTTTCCACGAAAACGGGCGAGTCGCAGCGATACGTCATAATTAATCACGTCGCAGTCGGGCTGTATCGCTTTATTGGTCGCATTACACGCGACACCTGGCCTTTAACAGCGTCTCGAATTTCCCGAACGAGTGAAAAGAGACCCGTGGAATAAATGCGCGTCGATTTTAATCGAACGCACTCGGTTCTCCGGGCTACAAAATATCCCCCTGTGTTTCCGGTCGGTTTGATCCAATTCGCGATACGCCTTACCTCTTTCATCGTTTTCACACAGTCCGCGATTACATATTGACGCGTTTAAACCGATCAAAATGCAAAACACATCCAGCGCTGTGGGGGAGAGGGGAGGGAGGGGGTGGGTGTCATCGGGAAATATTTAACGTGGCGTACTTTTGCGAATTTTTCCCTCATTTTTCTCTATTTACGAGCCATCGCAGTTTCAAACGGTTCGCTCGATAAAAAGGTTACACAAATTGCAATCAACGTTTATGGGGGCGATAATTATAGGAAAATACCGCGAACGTGCTCGAAATATACACGAAATATAAACGTGCGTCCTGCGTCGAGGGTTGAAATAAATTCGAAGCGAATGATTGGTATTAAAGGGTCCGCCGTTTGGCGAATCGAACGCGCATTCAATGATATGCGAGACTGAATTCGAAACTGTACCGATAATCGTAATTAATTTGAATATCAAGCGCGCGCAACTTACGTTCCACTCCGTAATCCGAGGAGAGCATCGAGAATAATAACGGGATCGGGTAACGATCGCGTATTTACCGAGATCGTTTCGAGACGAGGATAAAGAGGGGGATAATTTATACATCGACGTAACTAAAATACAAGTCAGAAGTGGGCACGATAATGAAAACCGTTCTGTTTTCTGTCCCTCGTTGCTCATGAAACATTCAAGAGCTCAGACAAAAGCTTCTTCGCGAGACGATCGTCTCTTTCTCTGCCACTGTACCGATCGACGAATACCACTTCGGCTCAAGATGGCTGGACGAGTACCGGTCGAGAGACGAAAAAAACAAGAGGGAGAACGGAATAAAAATGCCGCAGAAGTCGTGGTTTTCGAGTGCGGTTATTATGCTTTCCAAGATTTTCGAAGGCTCGAGCATTGTTTCGCTACCCGAAAAGGGCCATGCTCGTGTCTCGAGCCGAGGCGAAACACGGGGCTACACTGCGCGGAAGACAAATGAACGTTCTTCCCCAGCGGCGTGGGCTGAGCGCCAAACTAGAAACCACCCCTTCCCCGAGACCTTCGTTTCCTTTCTTCTACGCCCTCTCTCGTTTCTGGTCATCCACCCAGCCCCCTGAATCTCTTTCTTCTCCTTTTCCACCGGCCACTTGCTCTTATTTCCCTCCTTTTGTTTAATCCCAGCTTTTGCACCCGTACCACTACACCCAGTGGTGCACACGATCCGACATACCCGCTGATCCCCTCCTCTCATCGAGATTAGATCCCCAAAATAGAGTCACGAATTCGAGTGTTCGCAAATCTGAGAGTGGAATTTACCAATCGTCGAAACTGTAGCACTTTTAATTAGTCAAGACGCTCTCTGAACCTGATACAAATTTTTCTGACGTATCTGCAAAGACTAACAGCTTTGAGCACATTTTTCTTCTATCCACGCCTTTAGTGCCGAGTACAATAAGAAATTTAAGAAAATTTGTTTAAATAAATAATATACAGCCCATAGAAGATACGTCGAACCAGGGACAAAAGTGCAAAGTGAAGCAACTGACATAGAACTGAACTGCAAGGAGAAAAAGAGCTATACGGCCCTGTATTATTGAATAATATTTGACCTAATAGCGCCAGGAGGTTGTGCACCACTGCCGCGCCCTTTTTCACTCTCATTCCTTCAGCCTGCTCTGACCCTTTCATTACTTTTTTTTCTTTCCTAACCCCCTTCGTCGAGCCACTTTCACCGTCGCGACTCGGAATCGACCACATTCTATTCCGCCTCTCCATTCAACGATCAGAAAGTTTCACGAAATTCATTAAAGACGCGTTTTAACTTCCCTCCCGATTTGCCCGCTGGTCGAACACGGCGAATCGGTTTCCGGTCAGCGTTTCTTTCGCTACGACCAGCGTTTTCCAGCCGCCGACTCGCGAATCCCGCCACCGTACCGACTTCCTGGCTAACCGGACAGGACAAGAGAGGGATGATTCTTTTGTCCTTTGAATTCCTTTGTGCACCGCGAAACTTCGACTGGAGTTCCTTTGCCGGCGATCGCTGAAAGAACCGACGCTGCAGCGACGAAAGATCAATTTACACCGGAGACGGATTCCGTGACTGCGAGAATTCCCCCGCTGATCGAAAGACGCTGCGAATCCATGAAAGGAACACCGCGACCATAAAATTCGTCGTAAAAATTGATTTTTCTGTCGAAGCACCCGTTGTTAATCCTTTCGATACATTGGGCGAGATATCTCGCTACTAAAACGTAATTTGTATGATTTTATGAACGATACATCCCGTCCGAGTTATGGACGAGATATCTCGCTACCAAAATGTCGCTTTTGTGATGCTATGGACGAGGTATCTCGTGTCGCAATTTCTGTTATGAGATATCTCCTACGAATTACATTTTGGTAGCGAGGTACCGTCTAGTGTATCGAAAGGCTTAACTAAACTTTATATTCGAGATTCCGTGGAACTGTGTTAAGTTCTGGAATTTCAGAGAATGCTACAACTTAAATTCTAGGAACAGTCAACTTACTACCATTAAACATTTTCAATATGACATGCGTCTACTATTCATGGCAGAAGCAATAAATTTGGGTAAAAAAATTATTGCTTCTAGCATCGATGGTAAGTGCAACTCGCGTAATGACTTTTAATTAAAAATTGTACGGTACGAAGAGAACCCACGTGGAGCTCTCTCGATTATCAAAATAAATGCTTCGAGGCTAAACTACATATGTATAAAAGACTGAGTGCACTTGGACTTCGAGCTGGTGTTGCCTACATCCGATCCGTCTATATTTTCATGAAAAAGTTGGTTTATCGAAAATATAAAAAGGTAAAAGAAGATATTGGCTACTGCGCGGATAGCATTCTACGGATACAGTGAGTTTACTGCTTGCGAGAAAAGAGTTTCGAAGATTTACTCGTTCTACCGACGATGCATCGCGCGTATACATCAGTAATATTTATTACAATGGGACCGAGATTGCTTTGGCCTAGCAGATACAGCCGCGCGAGTGCATGTATCATAACAAACACAACCGTACGCACACAAACGCACACGCAGAGACGTGGTTGCGGGATACGAGCGCGCGGCTTGTATAAAGGATGCGCTTAATCGTACGTCGGGTTGAAGCGACCACGAAGATAACGCGAATCGTTACTCTATCGAGATCCGTCGATCATTAATTTCGATTAAACTTGCGTTAAATCATTCCGCGCGGGTAAATTCGTTAATAAATTGTTCTCAACAAAAGCTTAACACAAATGTACGTTCCTCCTGGGCGAAGATAATTCACGACGAGTCTCGATGCTCGAGCAACAATGGATCTCGCGAAAACGACGCGTACGTTGCCCGCGCAAGAGTCGATCAACATTTACCAAAGGATCCGTAGACTAAACGACCCTATTAATTACGTCACGCACTAGTCGCTAAGCTCTATCGATCGATAACTATTTGTAACGTTAAGAAACGATTAATAGGCGTTATACATACAAACTCACGGTTAAGGGATAAGGTTTTGCTCACGGAACCCAGCTGCACTCGCCTTTCTCCGTCGTTTTCTTCCTTGCTCGTTCTTTCTTTTTCTTTTTTTCTTTCAACCCCCACCCCAGCAATTCACGAGCCAACCGAGCGCAGCTGGGTTAAGGATCAGAAGGATCTGATTAAATTGCTCCTATAAGATGCATCCGCAGGTGCGACGCCGGCTGGGCTGGCTTCTCGACGAGGAAATGCATATCCTGAAATCGACGATTTTTTAAGGCGGCTTAGCACGTCCAGGAAATTGCATTTTTCAAATTTGCCCTCGACGCGTCCACGGACTCCTTCCGTGAATTAATTGGCCAACTCGGACGGGACCGTTTGCTCGTTGAATAACGCGTTCTCCGACCGTTTCCCAGTTTACTTTGCCCGGCGATGGCTCGGTTCCAGTTCGAGCGAGACAACGCGCACCCGTGATTTATCATTTCGAGTGGTTCTCGACGAAACGTGAAATTGTTTTCGCGTTTCAAGCGTCATTGCGTCGCGATCTATAAGCAACACGCGGCGTCTCGATCTCTACTGGGAAACGGAGCTACGAGTTCCTGCGACGATCGAGGTGCGACGATCGGGATAAATAATTTCACGAAAAGGAGTTTCGTTATTTAGTCCCACTACTGTCAGTCACTTCGACCCTTCGATTTTCAATCATAATCGAGGTAAATTCGAAGAAAATTTTTGATATTTTTAATAGTTCGTATCTGGTTGCAATTGTAACGTTTTGCAAAAGGGGGCAATTAACTTGAATATCTCATCCGAGTGTAATTATATTTGTGAAACACAACGCAGTAAGTAATTATAATATCGAGACGTCCAAAAAACATTCTTGTCAAAATTTTACAATTTGTATTCAACCAAAGAAAAATTTTCTATTCAGATATCGAATACAAAACAGTTCGTTCGATATTCGACGCTGCATTAAACACTAATTACTCGAGTATTTAATTTTCGAACCCTGTTCTAAAGGACGAAGAAGTGTATTCGGTATTTTGGACGTATTCAGCCACCCCCGACTCGGACGAATTGAAACGAGAGTGCCGGCTCGTAGCTGCGGACCGGTAGTCTGAGATTTTTTAATATTTCTATCGACAGTCCTCGAAAAGTATACTGAAAGTGCATAATCAGAATGTCTCGACCGAATCCGACGAATATCGACGGAATGGGGGAAGATTTGAAGCGCGGCGTATTTGCATACTCGAAGCGACGGGGAAGGTCGTCGTTGTAATCGATTCGGTTAGGGCCTTTCGCCTCTCAGATTTATCTAGATAATTATATTCGGTAATTCGTAGGAATGGCGGAAGACGAGATCGTGCGCACGAGACGTGTATTTATATACATATTCGGACGTATACGCGCGCGTATAAGGGGTGTGTATAAATATACGTTGCCCGACGAGAGCGATGAAAACTCGAACAGAAAAGTATTATAAATATAGATATATGAATATATAAATTATATATATTATATACATACTACAACTAACGCGTAAGGTGTAACTATCCGTTGGTACATATCGCACTTACAACCGGTAGGAATTAAAGAGGATGCTTCGTGAAATGGAAACGAAGCGTCTGAAAGTGTCGACGGAAATCGAATGATCGCCCTGGAAGGAAGATCGAAAATATTACATGGCGAAACAGGAAAGGGGACGATGCAGCGAAGTATAATTGAAACGAAGCTCCGATCAAGCGACTTTTCATTTGAAGTGATTCATATTCAGGCGGTTCTTTTCGAACAATATGGAGAAAAGTATTCAAATAAGATCTTATTCGTTATTCGACAGGAGTCAGCGAAGAATAAATCACGATCAAGAGGTATTCATAGCGCAGTAATAAATTGGCCGTCGCGTCCTACTTTCATTCCAATGATTATTCGAACAAGAATTTATTTCGGTAAAGCCGAACCTTAACTGTGGAGTTTCGTTTCTCTCGCAAGTGTCGCAGCATCGTTCGCGATCAATATTCGCGGTTATGGATCAGAAATAGGCAGAATGATAAATGACGAATAAGAACTCTGTATATTCAGTCGATGAAACAGTTGCTCGAGTGAGCTGATATTCATGGAACAAATTGATCGTGTAATTCGGACTGCAAGTTTTACTAAGCGCAAATAGCGAATCGATAAATTTTTTTTTTATTCATTCTTCATTCTTATCTAGACGAGAATTTTGTCCATCTCTGTCGCAGATCATGCTCGCGTCGCAGTTCACGCGCAACAGCATTTTGTAGATTTTATACCTCCGAGACGAGAAGCCGTTCGATCTTCCTTCCCACGGATTGCTTCGCGAGCGATTCAAAGTAACCGCAAACTCTCGCGAGATTTAAAGGACGAGAACAAAAAGGCAGACGGTGTATCAAAATAAGGATTTGTTTGTCCCCCTCTCCCCTTCGAGCCGACTGTACAGTATAGAGCGTATCGGGAGCGAACGTAAAGGAACAAAAGTGAACGCGCGTGTGCGAGTGAGTGATTAAACTAAAATCGTATCGAATGGATGGCTTGTGGTGCACACAATTTGTAAATGCGGACACGATGACATCACGAAGTCTCGCGACACAACGAATATAATAAAGAAAAGAAAAGTTCTTCGTTTTCTACACACCCGATGTGATCTTTTTATTCACCCACCCTTCGTATAATTTAATACAGATATACAGAAGGAAATGAAGAATACGAATACGAGATTCTGCGTCACCGTTTAAAAGGATTATGAGAAATTTTAATCCACGTTAATTCTCCACTGGCTATTCCGAAGTTTCATAGAAATTTTACCAGAAATTAATACCTATAAAATTTCCCGTCGCATAGTGATTGCTGGTTGTCGATTTTGATTTTATTCCTGGAATTAAATTTCATCGATAAAAGGGGAGTAATTCAGCCGTTTCGAACCGAGTCATTAAAATCGCACCGCATGCATAATCTGTTTAACATCGAATATGAAAATGTAAGCTCGCGTCATTGTTTGTAGCGATAAAATTACCGGACAATCGGTTTCATTATACGTCATTACGTTACGTTAGATACAATTTTCTAGACATAAATTAAAATTAACGCGATTCGAAAGGTACAACGTTAAAATTGACCACGCAGGGAATCCATTAATCCAACGGCGCGCCATTGGCCACCGCGAAACGTTATAACGGCGAATATATTTTACATATATTTCTACGTGGAAATATCTGGGCACACCCCCCCCTCCCCCCCCCGTCCTTGGCAGCCGTGCATCCTAAAACAAATTGATAAATCATCCCCGGACGCGCATGGCTCTCGCATTGGTTGTTTACTTCATTCGCCTCGTCAGCTCGAGCCAGAAAAAAATACCGGGACCGGTATACGTTTGCATATTTTATGCCGTCCCCCGTGCATACGGAACATGGCTATGAATTATATGTAGACGCATAAGAACAGCCCTCCTGCTGTTCTTTTTCCATGACCCACAACGCTCGCAATCCTCTTTCTTCGCCCTTTTGATTGTCCTAAGCCGGACGAGACGTTGAAAATGTATAAGCACCGATTCGCGGAACAATGTTCGCGTTATATTCGATTTATAGAACGGAAATGAATTTCAACATAACGAAATTTGCATGCTATAGAATACATATTGTACACTATAGAGCGACGAAAAATAATACCGGATGGTAAGTGTACTCTGTGGAGAAGGAAAGATTAACTTAGGGGTGGGCTCAGGTTTTGGATGACCAAAAAACAGTAGGAATTCTTAGATGAAATAATATTATATAAAATAATATGAAATAATATTAAAAATGAAAGCGTAAGACTTCGCGTGCTCCGAACGTTTCGCGGAGCACTCTCGCCATAGAGTAGACAAGCTGTTTATGTAAACACTGTGCAAACCGACAGTTATCAAATTTATAAAAAAAAAGAAGAAAAAAACCAATGAACCGTGTACTCAGAGCCGCTGTGCCCGACCACAAAGTTAATAGAATATGTCCGTGCTGTGTGCCAGACAACGCGTCAATTACCAGCGATCCAGTTACCTTTGCGATCAAATAAATATCGCGTTCGATATCGGCTAACCGAAAACTATACATAAATATATGTGTGTTGTTTTTATTTCGTTGTTTTTTTCTGTTTCGTTTTTCGTTAAATAGGCAACTGGCCGAAACGCAATTTTTCTATATTTCTATGCTCGGCGCGGAAATAAAATACACGCGTCGCGGCGATAAATCGTCGTGGCGGTTTCTAGCGTTTTGTTCTGGACAACGGTCGTGAACAAAGGATGCCCGTCACGCTCGGTTTTCGATTCAAAACGTCGGTAGAATTTTGCCGCTGAAAATTTTCATTACGAATCCGTCCGTGTTTTTCGCTGTTTTTTTTTGTTTCTTCTCCTCTGTGTGTGTGTGTGTGTGTGTGTGTGTGTGTGTTGTCGTCCCCACCACGGCGACTCGCTTACCAGGTATGCGTGACTCTTTTCCTTTTTGTTTTGTCCCTGCGCGACACGGCGCGGCGGATCGGATCCTCCGACGCGATCTCCACGGTAAATCATTTCGATTCGAAGCCAAATCCGCGTGTACGGGACCGAAAAACGAAAACCGGATCCGTTTCACTACGCTCGATCCGTCGACAAAAGTTTAAAAAATTCGTACGCCCCCAATCGGATTTCCTGACCGAGCGGACAACCGTTTGGTTAAAAGCGTCCCACCGATTATTTATGGATCGACCGCGAGCGATCCTTCCCGATTCTCTCTGAACCGTGATATCTGAGGTACGTCGATCATATTTGTCGCGAGGATTCGCGATTATGTTCGTCTCTGACGATGTTTGTGCTTCTTCGACTCGAGCGCGTCGAATATAGGTCGAGGAACAGGGATGTTTTTTACGAACATCTGCTACCTTATCGGTTCCGATATAAATCGATCAAACATCTGCAGAGATACATTTTTAATAAGCGTATTATCGAGGTTCTCTTGAAAACAACAGTTTTCGAGCGAGTGCTCTTAGTCTGAGCAATAATCGACTAACAAGGAAAGCTTTCGTAAGAATCACTCTTCCTTGGTTTAATATTCATCATTTTGTTTGCATAGCCATTTTTAGATTTTGGCGGAATTAAAGAAAAATTGACAATAACTGCAATTATCAATTTTGCTATGATGTAGACGTTTTGTATAACTGGAGAACATAATCGTGAATATATTTTGTATTTATTTCTATGTTACAATATTTAAAATGAAAACGTATATACCACTACCCCCGAATAGTTAAAAATCGAGAAAGCATTTGTCAAATATCAAATAAACGTGAGAAGCACGGTACGGTTCATTCTTTTGGACTACATTTCGGATCTGGGAGAAATACAAAAAAAAATAGTTTCGTCCAGCCAGCAGCCGTAATCGAAGCACTACGCGTCGTGGGAATTGAGAATTCTAGCGCGAGAGTGTGCTAAAATTCGATTCCACCGGTCTTAAATGACTATTACAGCTCATTGTTCGGGGAATTGACCGCGCGAAATCCAGAGCGCGCTGCTCCGAGCCGGCGATAAATCAATTTTCGCGGAAAGTACGCGCAGAAACGGCGGTAATTAAAGGTGTAGCTTCGGTTTCCGCGCGACCAGTTCCACGAAGAAGCCACGGATGGGAACGAACGATTCGTGAACTCGATCGATTCTCGCTCGCACCAACCGTACCTCGAATCCAATCTCGAGGAAAACGAACGAGGCGATCCCCGACGCTTTCCACGCTTCGAACAAATTCCCTCGCGACGATTTACTTGCAAAATACTCGCTCTCTAACCGTGGTGAGGAGACAACGACAATTTTCTATCCCGTTAAGTCCCCAGACGCAGCCGGGTACTTGTCGAAACCGCAGCCACAGTTCGCCTTAACTCTTCGGGGCACGCGATTCGAAAATAAAGCCAAACTGCGCGGAAAAATAGCGACGAGCGTTTTGATTTGTATACGTTTCTGTTATTGCTTATTTAACATTTAGAATTGGTTGGAAATATCGGAGCTAAGCAAACAGCGAGGCCTAACCCAGATCTAGCCCACCTATTCCTAAAAACTTCAAGGAAAAGATTATAATTTTGGTAACGAAGATGGAATTTCTTTTCGTGGAATGTGTCTCAGCGATAAGAAACCGATCACCGACACCTTATCGCATAAATTATATTTTATCTTTCGCAAAATAAAGTATTTCGCGGTTATTCATGTATTCATGAATTAATGAATGTTCGAGCTAAAGAATAAACCGCTGAGTCTTCGTAGTTATTAGATACTCCCATAAAAAGCATCGCGCGGAAATCCTACAAAATTTCCTTGACGATCTTTACAGAGGTTTCTTCCCAGGCTCACAAGCGAGCACTTCTTGATGGAAAAAGTGGTGTTCTTCCTCGAACAGAAATACGAAGCTTAACTTGATATTACAATTTTTTCTAATCGCGAATTTTTAAACGAGAGAAATGAAAAAGTTTAACCATTTCTATCCAGTTATCGGTACAAGGATTAGCGAATATTCCCCGCGGTAAACTAGGAAAACGGTCGGGTGTTCGTAGCCATCGCTGAGCACCGATGACTCGACCGAAAGCGAAAACTCGGGAAACTTCTTCCTTTCGGGGCTCTGGTTCGTTTTACGTAGGCCCCTGGCGTTTCTTTCGTCTTATTTTCGGTTCGACTCGCTCCAGAAGTTGGTTGGACGGCGATAAGCGTCGAAACGGTTCGTTAGGCCGCATACGGGCATTACGGGCTTCCGATACCAAAGTTAGCGTTACGACTCTCTGCCGCACGCCAGCTTTCCACCTCCCACACCAGGTAAGAACCCCGATTTTCATCACGTCGTCGCCCGTCAGACCTGGCCAACTTCCTCGACGCTCGTAAAAACCAGCCTTGCTTCTTTCGCGTTCCTAACTCGTTTATTCGATTACGAGAAAACTGTTAATGCCCGGACGCAAGCCGGAGGTGCTTCGAGGAACCCATCACGGTCGATCTTAGGGTCAACGTTAACTTTTAACCTTTAATTTCATCTTTCGTTGTTATTCGGCTGTTCGAGAATCTAAACGCGTCATCTAAATATCGTTATTTGTCTGCTCAAGAAACTACTGTTGCGATGGTATGAAGATATCGCAACGATGTAAGACTGCTCCTTTGATACGAGCTGGAAGCGAGGTCCCGTTCTTCCGGTTGTCATTCAAGAACCGGCAATTATTTAAAATGACGAGTATTATAGTTAATTGTGTTATAACGTTCATTGTATTAATAAACGTTCTGTGTTATTATTCACTTTAATAAATTCTGACTATGAAAATGAATACCACGTTGCTCACTATTAACGCGTGATCTTAATAGCATTATTCGATCTCGTTACTAGTCGATCATCTCGAATATCGTTAATCATTTTCTCATGATCACCCTTGAAACGGAGTTCGATACCATCGCTGGACGAGTCAAAGGAGATTCAAAGCTCGAACACTGGGTATCCAATCAGTGAATACGGGTGATCGATAACTAAATAGTTTGTTTGGCAAACCGAATTTGCAGCGCTCTCCAGGGATAAGATTACGTAGCTAAATCCGCGGACTGCCGCGAACATATGCGCGAAGAACCGAGTCTATTTTAAGTAGAGGTAGAGACTGGGCGGTCGTTTCTTCCG